TTTGCTGCTGGGTCGGGGTGGGGTTCTTTTTTTTTTTGGATCTACAGGGGGAATTATCCAGGCTTTATCATTCATCATCGGCTGAAAGCCAGTCACCAGGCAGCGAGTTGCGGCTTGGCGCTGGCTCTTCCCAAGACGGGCCGAAGCTCTGCCAGACCAGTTGATTAATAATGCAGTGTTTCTATATTTCCCCTTCGTTTAATCTTGTCATTTTCCCACCGTTTCTGAGCCTGCATTTCTGGGCTTCCCCTTTGCTTGCTTCAAGTCCCGTAGGCTGGCGAGTGCATCTTATAGGGTTTTTTTACATCCCTGAATTGGAGCACCAGCAACAACATCAGAATGGACTGCAACAGCACAAAATGCAGCTTTTCTCTCTTTCTCTCCCAAATGAATACACCTGTGGGAGCAAAGGGATTCCACTCCTTTTCGGATCCCCGGCCCCTTTCTAGCACTGCTCAAACAATGCAATAGCCTACATTATTAGGAGAAGCTTAAAGGCAGATCGGCGGGAGCTTTAGAATACAGTCCTACTTGGCCAATTCTCTCAGCTTTTTTAAAAAAACAGAATGTTAAAATGTGCAAGTAAAGGAGAAGTTCTCAGTACATCAGTAGTCGGAATTCCAGTTCTGGGTTTGGGAGAAAAACAGACACCCTGTGAGAAAGAAGAAGAGAAGAGATTGGATTTATAAGCCACCCTTCACTATCTGAAGGGATCTCAGAGCAGCTCACAATCTCCTTTCCCTTCCCCTCCCCACAACAGACACCCTGTGAGGTCGGTGGGGCTGAGACAGCTCTTTTGAGAACTGCTCATGAGAGAACAGCTCTGAAAGAACTTGTAACTGACCCAAGGTGACACCAGCAGCTGAGTTTAGAGGAGTGGGGAATCAAACCCGGTTCTCCCAGATTAGAGTCTGCACTCCTAACCACTACACCAAACTGGCTCTCTCTTAAGTGCCAGGGTATACAGAGACCCCAAGATATAAGGACAGATATTTAGCTGTATCTGAAGAGGTGAGCAGTGACTCGTGAACCCTCTTGCTCTGCCACAATGTTTGTTAGTCCTTATGGTGCCTCTGAAGTCTTGCTGTTTTCTACCCAACCTGTAGCAGTTTTGGAGTCTGGAGCTGAAAACGGTTTGTGTGTTTTCATGAAGACTAGTTTCCGAAGATAGCCATGTTGGTCTTCAAAAAGACACCTGGATTCCAATAGCACCTTAGGGATCAACAAGATGGTCAGCGTACAAGTTTTCAAGAGTCCAAGCCCCCTTCATCAGATGGCTGGTTTGTAGTCGCCTACCTATGGAGCTGCGGTGGCTCAAGTGGTTAAGACGCTGAACTGCAGGCTGTGGAAGGTCGGTCGTTCAGCAGTTCGAGACCCGGGTGCCGCATGACGGAGTGAGCTCCCATCTCTAGTTCCAGCTCCTGCCAACCTAGCAGTTCGAAAGCAAGAAATTGCAAGTAGATAAATAGGGACCACTTCGGTGGGAAGGTAACAGCATTCTGTGCGCCTTGGTGTTTAGTCATGCCGGCCACATGACCACAGAAACGTCTTCGGACAGCGCTGGCTCTTCGGCTTTGAAACGGAGATGAGCACCGCAACTCTAGAGTCGGATTCGACTGGCTTTCGAGCAAGGGAACCTCTACCTTTGCTGCCCTTTAACAATACCCCAAATCTTGCCACCTTCATTTGTGGCCTCACTGCTTTGTTACAGAATTAGCCTCATCTAATGTTCCTACATCTCTCCCCACTGCTCTGTTGCTACTGTGTGGGGCAGGAAGGCTACTCTCGAAACATGAAAATAGCTCAAGTGCTGTTAAATCAAACCGCCTGATTGAAAAACCAGAGCGTAGAAGCAACCATTTCCCCCTTTTTCTCCCCTTTCCCTCTAAAGAGCTTTGAGACCCTAGTTGGGTCATTTATCTCCAGAACCATTTTTAAAAGGACAACATTTATCTTAACCAGTGATGCCTAAGTGTATAATTTTCTGTTATAAATGAAAATGCAAAGACGAGGCCATAATATAAATGTAATAAAATTAAATAACCCACCATTAGCCAATGCAATGAGAAATGATGGAACAGCTGTTTTGGTCAAATGATAAATAGGTGGAGGTACTCATTATGCTATCAGTGTGTAAGATGGGAAGGACCCCTCTTTTTAACAAGCTGGGTGAAATATCAATCAGCATGCCCCAAATACTTTATTTTGGAGAGGTTTTTTCTTCTTCTTTGTATAAGATCAGTAAATCTGAAATAAAAAACGGAAAGGAAATTGGTGTAAAAAAAGCCAGGTAGAACCCTGTATTATAAAATACCCTGGACCATAATATGTCTCCAGTTCAGCCTGGTTGTATGGCTAGGAAGAACTGTGGCTCAGGGGCGGGCAGAGTACATGCCTGGAATGCAGAAGTCCCTGACTTCAGTCCCTGGTGCCTCCCATTAAAGCATTCCAGGCAGCAGATATTAAATAAGTCCTTTATCTTTCTGAGGGGCCGCAGTGGCTCAGAGGTTAAGACACTGAGCTGCAGACTGGAAGGTCTGTAGGTCAGCAGTTCAAGACCCTTGTGTCATGTGACGGAGTGAGCTCCCGTCTCAGGCCCCAGCTCCTGCCAACCTAGCAGTTTGAAAGCAAGAAACTGCAACTAGATAAATAGTTACTGCTTCGGTGGGAAGGTAACAGCGTTCTGTACACCTCGGCATTGAGTCAAGCTGGCCACATGACCACGGAGAAGTCTTTGGACACCTCTGGCTTTTCGGCTTGGAAATGATGAGCACCGCCCCCCTAGAGTCAGATTCAACTAGCTTTCGAGCAAGGGAAACCTTTACTGTTACCTTTATTATCTGCCTGAGACCCCGGAGAACTGCCACCAGTCCAAGCAGTCAATACAGAACTGCATGGACCAATGATTCTTTAAAAGGAAGCTTTGTTTCTTTGCTGACTTCATTTATACTCCACTCCTCTTGCTCAGATTCAAGGCATATTATGTAAATTAAAAAAGCGATGGAATAAAAAAACACCAGTAGAAAACATACAGCCAATGGGATTCTGAAACCGCCGAATAATGCAATCAACACAACGTCATATATACAGGGAGATAAAGCAATGGAAAGTAAACTGCCGAACGCTTCTCAGATGTTGATTACAACCTTATCCCCTGTTACACAAACACACTCCTGAACGAGGGCAACCAGCTCTGGACTGGAAGATTCCTGGAGATTTAGGGGTGGAGGCTGAGGAGGGACCTCAGCAGGGTTTAAAAAAAATATGTTGGTTTTTAACATTACATTCAAATACATTGCTATATACATTTTCTAGAAAACAAGTCCTTTATACATTATTTTTTACCTATTTTGTAACTCCTAACCATTTTTTTATTTACAACTTTATCTTCAATCCCATGTAGATGAGCATGCATCTTATCAATTTCCGCAGTTTCCAACAGTTTCAATGCTATTTCACCCCTGGTGGGTGATCTATCCATCTTCCAGAACTTTGCTAACAAAATTCTGGATATTGTCAGGATATGCAGTAAAATATTTACTTCCTTATACATTTGTTGATCATCTGCTATTATATTTAATAAATAGATCTCTGGGATAAGCTCTATCCTTACACCTAAAATTTCCCAGATTATAATTTGAACCATTCTTCAATATTTTTGTATTTTTTGGCACCTCCACCACATGTGGTAGAAGGTGCCCACGCTTGTTTTGCATTTCCAACAGTTATTAGTACTATTCTTCTGACATTTGGCCAATCTATCGGGAGACCAGTACCATCTATAATGCATTTTGTACACATTTTTTATAAGACACTGCCCTTAAGGGTTTGATGCCACAGAGCTCACCCTCCAAAGTAGCTGCTTGCTCCAGAGGAACTGATCTCTGTAGTCTGGAGATCTTTCCAAAAGATCTCCCTACCTGGAGGTTGGCAACTGTATCCTGAACAATTCTGTTTTATGCAGTCTGCAGAATAAGAAAAGTGTGGGAACCTCCCTAACCTTGTTGGGCAGGCCACTCCACCAGGTAGGAGCCACAAGAAAGACAGCTGGGCATGGCAGTTGCCAACCTTACACATGTGCAGCGTGGCACCTTCTGAAGTCTTTGCTCCGATGAGAGAAGCTGCTGTAGTGGAGAGTATGGGGAGTTCAAAGTTCCTATTTCCCACCCTGTTCCATTTGATACCCTTTGGACATGAGAAGCAGGTGGACACCAAGAAACACAATGGTAGGCACTATGGCGCCCCAGGGCACAGTGTTGGAGATAAGAACATAAGAACGTAAGAGAAGCCAATGTTGGATCAGGCCAATGGCCCATCCAGTCCAACACTCTGTCACACAGTGGCCAAAAATACCAGGTGCCATCAGAAGGTCCAGCAGTGGGGCCAGGACACTAGAAGCCCTCCCACTGTTGCCCCCCCCCAAGCACCAAGAATACAGAGCATCACTTGCCCCAGACTGAGAGTTCCTACCTATACCTTGTGGTGAATAGCCACTGATGGACCTCTGCTCCATATGCTTATCTAATTCCCTCTTGAATCTGTCCATGCTTGTAGCCACCACCTCCTGTGGCAGTGAATTCCATGTGTTAACCACTCTTCGGGTGAAGAAGGACTTCCTTTTATCCGTTCTAACCCAACTGCTCAGCAGTTTCGCCGAGTGCCCACGAGTTCTTGTATTCATGTCAAAAGTTCATTACGGTCATAAGACCAGTCACAGTAGGTACGGATAAAAAGGACGATTTATAAATTTTAAAATGGATAAATACATAAAAAGTGAAAAACGTGTGTGTGTGTATCCAAATAGTAAAAAAAAAGAAAGAAGCACACTCCATTAATTTATATTCCAGCACTGACATTTCCCAGCAACTGACGTGAGAAAGGGACTTCTTTCTCTACCCGCTCTATCCCACACATAATCCTGTAAACCTCTTTCATGTCACCCCCTCAGCTTTGGTGATCTGAGTAACAATGTGCCCTCTCTTTCCGGTCTGGCCCCTTTTCGGCTGTAGCTGCCTCCACGCGAACATGCCTCTGGCAAAAGATCTCCTGCATCCCTCCCCCGAGGAAGAGAAGAGGAAGCATAAGAAGAAGCGTTTGGTCCAGAGTCCAAACTCTTACTTCATGGATGTGAAATGTCCAGGTTGCTACAAAATCACCACTGTGTTCAGTCACGCTCAGACGGTGGTTCTCTGTGTCGGCTGCTCAACTGTCTTGTGCCAGCCCACTGGAGGGAAGGCCAGATTGACAGAAGGATGCTCCTTCAGGCAAAAGCAGCCTTAGATTTCAGCAGCTGGTGGTCCCAGGTGGGTGGGGCTACGCGCACAGTCGCTGGCTCAAGTACCGAAGGTTCAAGAGTGCCAATCAGGGGACGCGAGAAACATGGGCTGTGACTGCATGGCTCTTGAGGCTTCAGCCAGTTGCGATGGCACACGAGGAGGAAATGTGCACTGTCCTTGTAGCCTCACCCATTTGGTTCAATAAATTTTGGATTAAAAAAAAATCTGAGTAAAATTGGAGCTTAATCCAGCTCCACTGTGGAAGGGTTAACAAACCTAGGCCAAAATGTGAGCAATTTAAAAAGGTGGGAGAGCTTCTTTCTGCCTCTTTTGAGTCCCCAAAGAGAGAAGAAGAGATTGGATTTATACCCCGCCTTCATTACCCAAAGGTGTCTCAGAGTGTCTTACAAACTCCTTTCCCTTCCCCTCCCTACAACGGACACCCTGTGAGGTAGGTGGGGCTGAGAGAGCTCTAAGAGAACTGTGACTGACCCAAGGTCATCCAGCAGCTGCAAGTGGAGGAGTGGGGCATCAAACCCGGTTCTCCCAGATTAGCGTCCATGCACTTAACCACTACACCAAACTGACTCTCAAACAAGTGTGTTTTCAGGGTGACTTCTGGTTTCCAACCCCACTTTTTCTTTTTACCGCTCTGTTTTTTTGTTGTTGTCGTTGTTGCCGTGACTGCCAGCTGGGCTGCCAAGCGTCCTCTCTCATTTATAGTCACCCAAGAGAACGGGAGGTTCATGCAAGGTTGCTCAACTCTGCAACCCGGCGCTTGGCGGGAGTGTGCTGCGCGCAGCAAGAGCCCAAGTGCTCTGCGGTAGCATCCGTGTAGGCACATTTAATGGAGTGGAAAAGCCAGAGGAATGTCAGAACAGATTCCTCGGGAGCAGGTTTTGTGTGACCAAAACAGAAAGGATGGGATGTCTTTTTAAAAAATGTTACACGGTGGTAGAAAAGTGCTGTCAAATTGCCGCTGACCAATGGCAACCCCAGGGAGTTTTCCAGGCAAGAGATGTTCAGAGGTGGTGTGCCGTTGCCTGCCTCTGTGTCATGACCCTGGACTTGCTTGGCGGTCTCCCATCCAAGTACTAACCAGGGCCGACCCTGCTTAGCTACTGAGATCTGACAAGATCGGGCTAGCCTAGGCCAGCTAGGTTAGGGAATGTATTCACATCTCATGTATTCCTGTACATCATTTCATTGCATATGTAGTATGAATGGGAATATAAAGATTTTTATATATAGGGTTTTTTCTTCTTGATTGTTCATATTCATATTTCTCTGGTTTTTATAGATTTATTCTTTAAGTAATATTTTATTAGGATGTTAGAAAGGCCTGTTATATAGAAGGCTTTCCTCTTGTAGGTCTGATATTGTTAGCAGACAACATAATAGGTACAAAGTTCATGATTCTGTAGTTCTTAGGGCAAACCTTCCAATGTCTGGGTCAGATAAGATTTTAGTCTCGTATCAGTAATGAATACTTTTGTTTGGGTGAGAACAAGCTTTAGCCGATATGCCTTAGGTCATGTCAAGTAAATATGTGACGCTATTGCATAGACACACCTTACTTCCATTTGACCAATAAGGAGATTTTTATGTAAATGTTGTTTAAGCTTTTGTAACCAATTATGCTGTTTGAATATTATTCCCATGATGATGGTATGATGATGTCATTTTAAGTATTTAACTTTATGTATTTCCTGAATATGTTCAGAATATGCTCAAGAAGAAGAAGAAGATGAAGAAGAAAAAGAAGAAAGTTGTCAATTTCTGGTTAACTATTTGGTCTAATTGTTTTCCTATTAATTGAGGCATGTTTCCTGATTATGCTGAGAAGAAAGCA